ATCGAACCACCAAAGTTAACGAAAACAAGCTACCACCGTTGATTGGGGCAGGACGGCTGACTTCTATAAGGACCAAGCCGACAGCAACAACGAGGATCGGACGGCCAACTTCCACCAAGATTGAATCGACAACGATGACCGGGACCACATGATCGACTTTCACTGACACTGGACCAATTGCAACAATAAGGACTGGATGGTCGACTTCTACCGGGACCAGACCGACGACAACAATCTAGACCACACGGCTGACTTCCATCGAAATCGAACTGATTATGACTGGACGACCAACTTTCACCAAGATCAGACTGATGACGATGAAGATCAAGACCGTGCGGCCAACTTCCACTGAAACCAAACTGATTGTGACGACGGGAACTGGATGGCCGACTTTAAAATACTGATTATTAGCACCCCAGATTTATTTTTTTTTATTTTACATTTACCACATCAGTTAGACCTATTAATAGATGTCGAAACAATTTTACATTTCTATCATTGCTTTTCTTAATAACAGTTTTTTCTATAACCGACATTAAAAAGATATGTAAATGGCTATTTTTTTAGCAGTAAAATTAGAGTTTCAACTAATAATTTTTTATAACCATTAATTAGCTACTAGTACCTATATTTTGGTTAGGAGGTAGTACATTCTAGACACACCCAAAAGCAAGTTTACATTCCAAATCCCAATTCCGATTTTGGTCTCAGCAAAATTTAATTTTGTTTTCAAGATCAAGATGAAATACACATGTTGTTTTCAAGATCAATTTCAGCCGCTTTCATTGTAACTGAAGGAATCAAGGAGTAGGAAGTACAAAAGGAATAAAATGAGAAGAATAAGTGGAGAGTAAGAAACACGCACAACAACTAACAAGCTTATCGAAATAAGTCGTACTATTATTTATTATCATTAAATAGTGTAGTTTCTTAAAATGTTGAATTCAAATCTGGCATGTAATAGTTAAATTGTTGATTTTTTTTCCAAAAAATTAATTTACGTATCATTTTAAAAATATTTTTTTATACAATTTTTCATAATTTGTGAGCCAAGTTAGGTAAAATCACATTGGTAGCAAAACTTTTTCAATAAATATTTAACACAGTTACATAGCTATAATTTCAACTCAAAACCACTAGTTAAACTAGTCTCATGGAGTATATAATATTTTATTCTATTTATAGAAAATTGTGAAAGACTAAAATTGGAAGAAAATAAATAATCTACCTTTCTATGCAAAGTGACTTATAAAAATGATCATCTTGATCCAACTAGTTAAAGAAGTTGAATCATCTTATATTAGAGTCTTAATTTTAAATCTTGAGATATGTAATCATGTTAAACAAATAGCTAAAGACATTTTCAATATATTTGCAAGATTTTCTTTAACAATCATCTACACAATGTGATTCATATTAGTTTAAATGGACGGTAGTAATGCTCAAAGGTTTTTCATCATATCGTGCAAATGGAATAAAAAAATATATCATTAATTTTTTTAAAAAAGAAGACGACTTTAATTGGAAGGATTAAATGTAATTACTTATTGTTGACACACGTTATAAGATGAAATAGGAGAGAAATGCCACGCAAAGAATATTATTGGTGGCTCTAAAGCACTCGTGGATCTCAATCATCTGGTACACGTGTATTCCGTACAGGCCATAAGTTAGATTCCACTTGTAACAATGTTCCTTTTCGACCTTTGATCTGAGCACCAAAAAAAAAAAAAATTCTTTCGCTTATTCCCCAAACAGGTGTCAAGATGTTCATATGAATTAATAATGGCCAATCACAATTTTACTTCTTCTTCTTCTTCTTCTTTTTTTCTTCTTTTTTTTTTTTGCATATACGAGTATTAATAAGTAGAACTTGTCAGCCATAAATACTCATATGATAAAAAAAAACAAAAAACTCAAATAAAATTATAAGATAAATACTATTATTATAAACCTCATTGTAGGGACTGTTATTATCGATGATAACTTCATAGGTATCAAAGATACTTTTAACATGATATTTACTTCATAGCTTGAATGATTTAAATTCAAATGTTTTTAAGGCCGAAAAAAAGTCATCCTTTTTTTAGATTTAGATAATATTTAGATTTGATTATTTGAACCATCAAAATTTTTAGATTTAACTTAAATAAAACTTAATGTTATCTTTGGATACACATGGATTTGAATTTGAGTCAAATCTATTGTTTGAATAATTAAAAGTATATAAATTTGAATTTGACTCAAATTCAAATTCAAGTTCTTCCTTAATTTCTGTGTAATTTGAAATCCTTTCTAAACTCCTATTATTTCAAATCCTAACCCAAACTCTTTCATAATTTGACCTAAATGCATAAAGGCTTGATTAACCTGCCAACAGTAATTGCATCGAACCACCAAAGTTAACAGAAACAAGCTATCACCGTTGATTAGGGCAGGACGGTCGACTTCTATCGGGACCAAACCGATAGCAACAACGAGGATTGGACGGCCAACTTCCACCAAGATTGAATCGACAACGATGACCGGGACCACATGATCGACTTTCACTGACACTGGACCGATTGCAACAGCAAGGACTGGATGGCCGACTTCTACCGGGACCGGACCGACAACGACAATCTAGACCACACAGCTGACTTCCACCGAAATCAAATTAATTATGACTGGACGACCAACTTTCACCAAGAACAGACTGACGACGATGACGATCGAGACCATGTAGCCGACTTCCACTGAAACCAAACCGATTGTGATGACGGGAACTGGATGGCTGACTTTCACCAGGACTAGACCGACGACGATGGGGACTAGAAGACCAACTTTCACGGGGACCAGACCAACGGAGACCGAACAGTCAACTTCCACAAGGATCAAATTGATGATGATGACCGGGACTAAATGGCAGACTTCCATACGGCACCAGACTGATGACAATGAAGGGCACCAAAATGGCTGACTTCTACCAGGATTGGAATGACGGCTACCACAGGACCGGATTGATGGCTACCACGGGCACCGAACAACCTTCTTCCACTAGGATCAAATCGATAACTACAACGAAGATTGGATCGACGGCAATGACGGGGATCGAATGGTTGACTTTTACTAGGATCAAATTGACGACAATGACGCTGACCGGACAATCAACTTTCGGTGCTCGCTGTCATCGTCAGTTTGATCCCGGTGAAAATCGGCTATCTAATGCCAGTCGGTTCAGTCCTAGTGGAAGTCTGCCGCTTAATGCCCATTGTCGTCATCGATTTAGTCCCGGTAGAAGTCAGCCGTCCGGTCCTTGTCATTGTTGTCGGTCCAATCCCGGTATAAGTCAGTCATCCTATGCCTGGGGTCACCGTCGGTTTAGTCCTGGTGGAAGTTGGCCATCTGGTCCCCTAAGTTACCATTAGTTTGATCTCGGTGGAAGTCAAAGGTCTCGTCCCAGTCGTCACCAGTGCCACAGTCTCAATTGGCTTTGTTTGTCTGATCCCGTTGAAAGTTGGCCATTTGAATCATGGAGTTTGACAAATCTTCTAAGTTTCTTTTGAATTCAAACATAGAATTTAAAATTTAAAATTTTACTTTAGATCCAAACAAAGGATTTTAATATTGTAATTTTAAATTTTTTATATTATCCAAACAAAGAATTTAGAATCTGTGAATTTTACATATGAGATTTTAAATTTAAATTTTCAACTTAAATCCATCCATCCAAACACAACCTGAAAGAATTCAAATTCTTTTCAACCTTTATTTGTATAGGTTTATTATGGCTATCTCTATAGAGAATTTGGATCATCCTCAAGATGAATGTAACCTCATTTTAATTATGAATACATTTCTTCAATTAAAAAAAAAAGTTTGTGTATGGTTTATAGAAAGAAATGAAAATGCCAATAAATGTTGGCTAGGTAGCAATGAATCGGTCTTGTATGCATGAAGACATGGATTCATAGTCTCATTACTGATATGAAATTTTGCACGAGAGACATCTATAAATAATTGAAGACATGTTTTAATTTTGGTGAATCCTTTTAACTTATCTAAACTTTCTTAGTTAAAAGGAAACAAGTGAATTAATAGGACTGAGTTTAGCCCAAAAAAAAAGGCTAGTATTTCAAAATGTAATGAATCAAAGATTGTATTTTTTTTTTAAGGAGAGATACCAAAATTTAATACTTATTATTTTGAATGAGATTCTTTGAACAGAAATATACGTTTGCGTATAAAAAGAAAAATGAAAAAATATTTCAAATAATTAATTTTAAATTAGCAACAAAGATAGAACTTTTCTAATTTTATCTATAAATAATAATTCATAAATAATCTGTAAAATATTGTATGTGAAAAAGTGGGATCGATTTGAGGCGAATAGGAAAAGAGAAAATTAAGGAAGGCCCACCTTTAAGCTGCAACCACCAGACGCCGTAGTCCATCTCTGTTCATAACACTTGTCACTCCTTTATTCAGCCAACCCTCCCTCTCCATGCTTACTTCTTTATTATTATTATAATAATAATATAATAAATCTTTAATTCAATTCTCATTTCTGAGTTTTTTTTTAATTTTTTTTTCTTTGTCCGAAGAGATAATTCTTGTCCCCCATCTTCTTCTCGCTTCCAGAATTCCCCCTCTCTTTCTTTCTCTGGTCTTCATGACTTTCCATTTTCTCTCCTCAACAACCTAATACTTATACATTCCACACACACCCAGAAACAAGTTCAGATTCCAATTCCCAATCCCGATTTTGGTTTCATAAAAATTTGATCCTGTCTTGTTGGGTCTCTCAATCAAAGTCAAAACCCAGAATATCCCCCCCCTTCTCTCTCTGAACTTCAGAATCGAGAAAGAGATTTCAAATCCGAGCACCCTTTTGGGTCAAAGTTCGAAAGATCTGAAATTTTGTTGGTGGGTATATCAGAAAAACACCAAAAAAAGAAAATGATTCAGCTGTTCTTCACAGTGGCTTTCTCTGCGGTTCCTCTGACTCTGTATGTTCCTCCAATGAGAAGCCTAACTCTGTTCGTGGAAGTCATGGAAGAGATTCTCAGAGAGTCAAGAGTTTACTCCAATAGGATGTACCCACGTGTCCGGGGTGCTTGGTCCAGAATCATGGATTGTATGCTCTGCACAAATACAAGGTAGATTCATCAACATGGGTTTCAACTTTGAACCTGATCTTCATTCCTGTACATATTTCTGGGATTTTCTTGTTTCTTTTCGAAAAATTTTTTGTTTACTCTGTCAAGTAATCCATCATATGAGTGATTCCTCTTCAGTGCACATGTGATCCATCGAACGGAATAACAGAATTATAGAATGTTCTGACTTTGATGTTTGATCAGAAAAGAATCGTTTTTTTTTCCCCTCTATTGATGAATAAAATCTGGGTTGGTTTGTTCCTGAATTTGCAGTTTCATTTGGCTCTTTCTCATCTTCTTTTGTGAAGTGAAAAATATGTTTTCTTTCTTTTTTTTTATTTTTACCTTTGGTGAAAAAGAATTTAGGTTTCTGTCTCATGTGATTTTTGGCTGAATTTTATATTGTATATGGATTGAAATATATGTACATTGATTTGTGCGAGCCGCCATAGAGGAAGACGAGATCAGAGTGTACGAACTTCGATGGTCTCGTGAATTTTCACGGGGCTTGTGGCAGAAGTTGTATTGAATATTGTCTTTCATAACTATTTACGGTGGCAAAATATACACTCCTCTGTGTCACAAACTCACAAGACATGACATACATATTTTACGACTTTTCTAATTTAAGGTATAGAATATTAAATAATTTTTATATTTATTTTTTATTATATTCTTATTTTATTTATTAGTTTTTTTAAAAAATATGTGTTGAAATTATAATTATTATTATCAAAATTTTTATATAGAGTATTTAATGAAGATATAAATAAAAAATGTGAATATTTTTAATAATTTAATATTTTAATTAATATTTTTTATAAATTATGAATTAATTAATTATGGTTGATATTAAAGTTTGGAGAGAGTATATATAAAATATTTAATAATATATATATTATTTTATTTATGTCGACATTAAATTAAGAGTTTTTAAAAAAATTATTAACTCTTTTAAAAATTTAATAAAATTTTAACTTACAGTAGAAAATTTTTTACTTCTATTAAATATAAAGAGTTGCGGCTTATTTTATTATATATTTTGTCTCAACAAGTAGAAGAAAAATTTTGTAATAAAAAATTAGTGACATTGTATAAATAAGAGTCAAAATTTTTTCATCTCTGCCTACATTAATAAGATACCATATCATAGAGTAAAGAAATGCTTTATCCTGTTTTTATTATAAAATATCTTTAATTATCAAGAAGGTATAATTAAATGAATGACTTTATTTAAAAATAGAATAAACATTTTATTTTATTTTATTTTATTTAGATAAAAAACTTTACATTTATGTTATATTTTCTCACATAATTAATGAGTTTAAAAGATATAATACTATAAAAATGTAAATAATATTTTATTAAGCATATTATATTATGAATAAAATAATATTTTAAAATGTGATTTATAACATGAACAATATAGAATATATATTTTTGAATGAGATGAGGATTGAATGTTAATGGAAGAATTGGAAAAGTCTAGAAGCTAGAATTGTGGATAAAGGCTGGGGTTAGAAAACTAAACTTAAAAATTTTGTTTAAATGAGAATTTAAACTTAAAATTTTGAGAGTTTTTTAGGAGAATTAGGAATCAAGGCCTGACCTTAATAGGTTCTAAAAAAAAAATTCAAGCTTGGGTGACTCTTCAAGTGTTGTTCTCCAGAAGAATGATACTTGGTTCAAGTATTATGTTATTAAAATGATTTAAGATGGTTTTTTTTATTTATTTTAAAGAAATATTGATAGATTTTTTTACTAATTTCTTAAGCACAATTACTTTGCAAAGCCTATTTCTTGATTTTAGTTAATGTTGTATTATATAATATATAAGTTTTTGTATTTATTGAATTTGATAAAGTTGATTTAGATTAAAAATTATCTTTATTTTAAAATTTGATAAAGATTTTATATCTAGATTTATATTTATTTATTTTATTAATTTTTTTTATCTTTTAAAAATAAAATAGACTTATAGGTTCTGCTTTAAGTTCTTTAAATAAAGGTTAAATTTAAAAAATTAACAATTTTTCAAGAAACCCAACTCAAGTCAACTTTTAAGGAATGAGCCCACTTATTTTTTATGTGTACCAAGATTTTTAACTGTGACAAATATAATAGTATTCTATCAAGTGAATATAGTATAAATAATAACGGTTTGGATTCTTTAAATATTATTTTAAAGTTTAATTTTTAGATATATATATAAAAAAATATTATTTAAAAAAAATAATTTCTTAAATGATGTTTAAAATTTTTGAGAGATTAATCTCACGTCTGTGCGCTGTAAGGATACTTTGAATAATAAATATATATATATATATATATATATATAGTAATGTGTTTTAGCAGTAATGAAGGTGCCGACAAAAGCTTTTTTTTTTCCCCTCGGGGCTAGAGACAAAACTAATTTGAAGAGTTAATGAAAATGAAGAAAGTTAAGGAAAAATAAACCGGGCGAAGATAACATACGGACCAGATGTCAAAATATCAAAGTTAAATTATTTTAAATATTGTAATTTTTTTTGATAGAATTTCATGATCAAATTCTAGATGTAATGATTGTTTTAAAATTTAGTGGTAGCCATTTTAAAAATAAATCTAGGTTTTTTATTATTTCTTAATTTAAATGTATAAGAATATAAAGACAAGTCTTTAAGGTTTAAGTATAAACAAATAATTTTAATTCATAATTTTACCTATACTTTTTTATTTTCTAAGATAAAATTTATAAATATTAATACAATGATAATTTTATTTTCTATAACTAACTATTTGATAATTATAAATTTTTATTATGATATTATTATATGCTTAAGAGATATTAACATGAAAATCATTTTAAAAAAAATATTTTACAATATCTTAGACAAAAAAAATTGTTGATCTTATCTTTGACTCACTCAAAACAAAATTAAATGTCGGTTTTTGGATATTTAGAGGATTAGCCTGTCATTTTTGCCAGTTTCTCTTATCCTGTCAGGGTATTGTGACTGACGCCAGCCACTCTTTTGATCATTTTTTCATGAAAGATTAGTCTCTTCTAAAAATGTTTATATATATATATATATATATATTATATAATTTTATTATTACTAATGTCATTGACACTCAAGATATTTTTATTGTTACTATAAGGTTATTCTCTGGCGAGTGGATGAGGTGGGTCTATTGTGGACTTCATGCCCATGTTTTAAATTTATTTGATACAATTTTGTCCTTTTATTAATAATTTTTACAATTTTTAATTACGTATAGTGGAGTAAATCTAGATGTGTTAAAAAAAATGGTATATTCATATATATATATATATATATATAATTAGAAGAGCATGCACTGCTAACCTAGAGTTATAAGTGGAAATACACCTGAGGCCCTTCACTTATTAAAAAAAAAAAAAATTTACATGTTGCTAGACGGACAAGACAAATTTGGCTGTATTTTGAGAACACGGTTTTGTGTGTTGCGGAAGAACGTCACAAAACGACAAGAGAGCCCACAGAATTGATTGCAGAAGCAAGGATATGGTATTTCTGTTTTTTTGTTTTTTTTTTTTTGGGTGGGCAATTCTATGTATAGCCGAGAATAAGGGTCAGGCTTGACAGCCGCCCGTTTAAATCAGTTTTAATAAGAATTTGGACTTAAAAATTTAGCATTTTTTAGGGTAACCGGGTTTCGAAGCCTGGCCCTTTTAAGCCCTAGAAAAACGGGCTCGGGCGGCCCGTGAAACCCGTTTTACTATTCACAAAGTATTTTTTTACCTCTTTTCAGATAATGTACAAACATTGATTTGTATTTTATACTAGCAATTGGTTGAATTGTTTTATGCCATTTTATAGTAATTTTTATATTTTATCTTGTGATATATGTATAGATATATATTTGATAATAAAACAATTTAATTAATAATTATTGTAGGTGATGATGAAGAAGCTGCAGAAATAATTAATATTGAGCTTCCGCCTCCATCTTTCACAAGTAGACTTACATCTGAAAGTTTTAATATTTTATTTATGGATGATAATGAGGGAGATCTTGATTAGGATTGATGATGATGTTTGCCTTCATCTTATTTGAACTTTTAAATTTTTTGTTCATTTTTTAGATTATGTGAGACTTTGGTTTGATATATGTTAAATTTTAAAATATTTTAAATAAATTTTAATGTTAAATTTTATTTTATTTTATTTTATTCTTGTCCAGGCTTACGGGCCCGACCTTGAGCCCTATAAATAAGGGCCGGGCTTCAATTTGAGGTAAAATTGAGATAACCGGGCTTTAGAATCTAAGCCCATAAGGGCCGGGCATGAGCTCGGCCCGCCCGTTTACCAACTCTAATCCTATATTGATTTGCCATCAAATAAGTAATGGATTAAATAAGTTGAGTATCGAAAATTTATTAAGATTAAAATTTAAAGGATACTTATAAATTATTCATAAATAAAGTTCACATATTAGTAATAAAATTTAATTCATGATCTTATAGATTATAAATTATGAGTTAAATTCTTATTAATTAGATTAATTTTTGTTAGTAGTTCAAGTAATTCTATTCTTCATATATCAATAAAAAGTTGATCAATTGATAAAAATTTAATCTATACTTTATAAAAATCATAAGATTAAATCTTATATCGATTTCATAAATGCTTTTGTAAGAGCTCAATAAACTTAAAAGCATGCCTGGGCTCACTTACACTTTTTTGATTTTTACATATAAAAAAACTCTTCTGTTTATATTATATCATACCAAATAAATATTTTAGTTGGAAATTATCAAAAACAAAGTTACTCCCTCGTTAAAAAACATAAAATATTTTTTAAAGAATTGAATATTTAAAAATATAAAATATTTTGATTATTTTAAAATGTAATTATTATTTTTTTAAGTGCCTCTATTAAATATATTACTTTACATTTTTTTAGGGTGAGACATCATATTAAATAGAAGTAAATATAAAAAAATATAGTTAGCTAAAAAACAAGTGATTATTTTATTAAAAATGAAATTTAATTAAAAATATTTTATATTTTTAAATGGAAAAAATAATCAGTAGATCAGCATATAAGAAGACTGTTTCATGCGAGATTGAGAAATTAAATATAATATGAGCGTATTTTCAAAGAAATTAGCATTTATATGGACTGGCTTGCTCATGATAATTATAATATGAATACTACGCCGATGATCATATCAAAACCTCCATCTAAATATACATGAATTTAACGTAACATGATTTGTCTATTAGGCTTAATTTAATTGTTTAACGGTTTCTGGACCTATAATTTTCTATTAATTTCATAAAATAACATTAGTTTTTTTTTTTCTTACTATCAATATCTTGCTTGCATTTGATATAAGGGTGAGATCATGCCAAGTCCTTTATAGGGTCTACAGTCTGACCTATTTTAAATCTAGTATAACCTACTTATTAAATAGACTCAAGCTTTTAATTAAATCTATTTAGTTAAATAAATCAAATCTATTTTTTTAAGACCTAACTTACAGCTCAATGGGCCGACCTATATATATATATATATATATATATTACATATTATATCACAAATACATTAGTTTCACCATATAATTGTTAATCAATTTATTCTTTACTATTTTTAGTTATATTTTTAATTATATTTGATTTATATATTAATTTAATATTGTCACTTTATTATTTTATTATATTGCGCTAGTAAGTCTTTTAATTCTTATATATTATAATTGATAAATTAGGTTATATATTGTATATTATAATAGACCTAATATATATTTGAGATATTTAAAATTAAAATACGAGCCTATTTAAAAGACTTTATTTTTTAAGTAGGCTTTTAAATAAACTTACAAGCTAGGTTAGGCTTTAAGTAAGCTCAAGCCTGAGCCATAAAAAGAAATCTTATATAAGCTTCAGATCAAATTAAAACTTTTAATTTATTACACAAACTCAAATTTGTTTGATTAAAATTTAATTCAATCTAATTTATTTTTACCTGTAGTTTGATGTAGTGATTGATTATTTATTAATGAGTGATTGCTTGTGTTTTCATATTTGTGGAAATTAAAGGGCTCTTTTTAAGTAGCAAATCATCTCCTGCCAAAAGTCAACGATTCTGTAATTAAAGGGCTCTTTAATAATTAATAAAGGTATTTCTTGCTGAGCGTATTATATGCGGCCAGTTAAGTTTATTATACATAAAGAATATTGAGGAAGAAGTGTCTCTACTTAAATTTATTCTTTTTGTTAAGAAAAAAAATTTAAGTAAGTTAGGTTAACCTCTGAAATTTTATATCATTTAAACCCATTTTTCCTAAATTTTAATATATTTTAACACATTTGTACATATTTTAAATATTTAAGTTAGGAACTTGCGTATGTTGTTTTGAAAATTCAACCCATGGCTCTAATTTGATATTTTTAAAGATAATTTATTAATATTTTGATTTAAAATTTGGTTAGATGCATTTTTGGACTTTTAATAATTCTTTTGAAAGGCTTTTAAATAAAAAATCAAGTGCAAAGATGATTATTTTGGCTAAGCGAGAAGTGTGAAAAAATAGCCAAAGTCATCTCTCCTTACTTTTGACACTATCAGCAATACATTGCATTTTATTTAGTTGAAATTAATTGGGTAGGACACTTATATATACTTTGCTTGACCCAGAATACATTCTATGCACTTTGAGCCACATTAGAAGCTTGTTTGTACTAGGATTTGGACATTGAAAGAGTTGGGATCAAGAGATTATAGTTTTGAAGACATTTGAAGCTCATTTTCTTCAGTTCTTCCTCTTTTATAATATGAAATGAGTCCAAATATTTTGTGTATTTATGATTTGTGGATGTTAATTGGTAGCTAAACTCTTTATTCTAGAATTATTTGAAGCCCTTACATGGATTAACACTAATTTTCTCCTCTCTTTTTGTGATTAATGAGATATGTGTATTTATTTTACTCTTTTCATAATGCTTCTAGATAATTGACTGCCATTTAGTTGATTTGTTCACTTGAATGATGCTTGCGAAGGCTAGTTTAAGTGTAAAACTTATGTAAAATAGTGCAAAACTTGAAATTTGCACATTAAGTGGATGATTTTGTTAGTAAGATATAGATATATTTACTAACATTACATAGCCACATCAGTGTTGATATTTAAAATTGAATTTTATTGATTGTAATAAGAGATTGAGTAATTAATATAACTAAATACTTGTTCATGACTTAAAAGAGTTTGTTCAGATATTTTTAGAATCCTAAGTTGATATTTATTTTCATTAAAAATATTTATGAAAGAATGTAATTTTACTGTTATGAAATACAAGGGGACAAATAATCTTAAATCTTAATTTGTGCTCGAAATCTGTGAATTACTTGTTTTTCTTTATTTTTAAAATTTAATTTAATTTGTAAAATCAACTTTGTGCAACATGTCTCAAAAATTTACTAAAACTAGAATATACCTCTGGCGTTAAAAATTTATTATAGAAGTACTTACCAACCGTCTCAACAGTAGGATTTGGACTTATAATCTTATAGACTATGAATTAAATAATATCAAATAGACTTATCACTTGGCACTTTATTTTCCCTTTCTTTTCTTTTGTTTTTTTTAAGGGACAATTTCTTAAAGAAGGGTTGCCTTACTAAGTATTAACCCTTGAAGGAGAGGCTAATTGGGACATGTTTTGAAGTGAGAGTTTTACAATTTATTTTTTTAAAAAAATTAGTCATTTAATTCTTATAGTTTTGATCCAATAATAACTCAGTTCCTGAATTTTGACTCACTGTAATTTTATTTTTTAAAATATAGGAACTAATATTTAAGTGGTTGGAACTATAGAGATTAAATTGCAAGAGGCAAAGTTTAGGGATTGAGTTACAACTAAGTTAAAACTATAAAAATTGAGTTATAATGAGTTAAAGTTCAGGGACTGAGTTATAATTGGGTCAAAACTACAAGAATCAAATAATTAATTTTTCTTTTTCTTCTTTTGGATAAAATAGTCAATTAAATTATATGGCAAAAGGTTAGTACATAAACATAGTCCCACACAAGACACCTTCACACACAAGACTGACAAAAAATTTCACTTGAAAGTTCACAAAGATTAGGGCTGCACAAAGGACTGGACGGGACTGGATTTTAGTCTAACTCAAAGTCTGGTCCCTTTCATGAAAAGGACTGAGTTAGACAACCTATAGTCTGGTCTGGTCCTATGATAAATCGGAGATTAACAGGACTAGACTTGGTCTATAGGACTGGGAGACTGGTTCTGTTAATTTAGTACTCACTTGGACTTTTTTTCTCTATGATAAGAAATAATCTATTTCAACCTAATAAACTCAATTAAGATAATAAAAACACTTATAATTATAATAAATCCATAATAATTTCTGACATCAAGAATAAAAAATTTCAGTTACAGTCATAATAAATCCATAATAATTTCTAACATTAAGAATAAAAAATTTTAGTTACAGTTCAAACTCTAAATGATTTAAATCTATAACTTCAACAAAAACACTCAACAAAGTTCAACATTACATTACATCTATCAACAAGTTCAACACTACATTACATCTGCCATGTAATTATCTCCTTAGCTTTAACAGAAACAAACTCAACAAATATTCAAATAATTATCTCCTTAACATCAATAACACTTGAAGCATTTGTCAAAAATAAATTATATATATATATATATATATAAAGTGATTAGTAAATGTAAAAATGCAATATATAAATTAAATTGAGAGACATAAAATTGAATATATTACCTGCAACATTAACCAATCGTCGGTCTCTTGAAAATTGTCAACATCATGAAATATGGAGCCAAATGCTGAGAGAGATTGCCCTGCAAATAGCCAATTTTAGGCACAAATAAGTGCTTCAATCATCTTAGGAGATAAAGAACTCCTATAATCATCAACAACACGTCCTCCAATACTAAAAGCTAATTCAAAAGTAATTATAGATACTGGTATAGCCAATACATCTCGTGCTATTAAGGAAAGCACTTTGTACTTGATAGAGTTAACCTTTCACCATGTCAAGATGTCAAAATCATCATCATCATCAATAGGGGTGTCCTCAAATATACTAGTAAAAAGGTATCTATCCAACTCTGAATGGTATTACCTGATGAGCTTTTTTACTTCTAGGATGCTAACCAT